ACGGTCGCAGTGCTTAATGGAAAAAGAAAAGCAAAGGGAAAGATGACAGGAAGAAAGAGAAGAGGAAATGATATGATTGTGGGATTAGAAGGAATGAAAGTGGGGTGCAGCAAATTCGCACTATCAAGAGTACTGGGACCGCCACGATAATCACCGGGGCATGTAACATTATTGATTCAATAATCCAACACTTTTGCAGCAAAAATCTCCAGAGAATGCAAAATTTTATCAACTCTAACTACAGCAAAAATTGAATCTCAGGCTTAAACCGATTCGTTTAGAAGAGAATGCGATGCCCAGCAAAATTAGACCAAAATAGTGTCATGAACGCCCCGAGACTTGATCGTGGAGATCTCGAGAAAAGCTGGCAATTGCTGAAAGGGTGTGCTGCACAAGCTAATAGCAACCAGACAGTATAGAGTGACGAGGTCCAATTGTGGTAACGGTAAGAAATGTATACGACTTAATGGACCGAAACATTTCTTACCTATTACAAATATTTCCTTAGTCCCCTTTCCCCTTTCTTACTTCGCTTTTTCTTCGTTTTTTTCCCTCCTTTATCTTTTCTACTTCATTATTTTCCCTTCAACCTTTAATAAAATGTGCAAAGGAGCTTATCATAAATATAGATTATCAGTGATTCAGTATAAATACGTGCAGTGCAAGGACCAGCGATGTAATGATCTAGAACAGGTTGCATCTGAATGTGAAGACGAGTGGTTCGATTCTTTACTGATTCATAAAAATTTTCAAAATAATAAATAGCAACGCGCACCAGACTAGCCGGTACGATCATGCGTTTTGTGCAATTCAGTCCTCGAACGATTGCCTATTAATGACTTTCACTGCTTTGTACTTTAATCTATGCAAAAATAGTTCAAACATTGGAAAACAGTTAAAAATTTCAGCGCATGAAAGCTGAATTCGAAGCCTTGAAGGATGAATATTTTTCCTTGATCCCAGAGTTAATTTTTTTCACTGCTTTGTACTTTAGTCTATGCAAAAGTAGTTCAAACATTGAAAAACAGTTAAAAATTTCACGCACAGCGTATGAAAGCTGAATTCGAAACCTTGAAGGATGAATATCTTTCCGTGATTCCCAAGTTAATAGTTTGGCGCATGAAAGCTGAATTCGAAACCTTGAAGGATGAATATCTTTCCGTGATTCCCGAGTTAATAGAGTATAAATATGAATTCGGAACCTTGAAGGGTGAACATCTTCATCCCGAGTTAATAGTTTGCCCCCCAAAACTTTCACGAGGCCGTAGGTGACACTCAAGAGCGCGGGAATGTTGAATTTGAATGGGCAAGGTTGAGCGTGGGCGGGGGGTCACTACTCTAAAATTTCAGCTTTCTAGATTCCGTGGTCCCCGAGATATTGATTTACCCGTAAAAAACTTTCAGAGGGCCGCACGTGTTACCCGCGGGTACGGGGACGCTGAACTTAAATTTACGGGGTCACACGTGGGTGGAGAACGTTACCCTAAATTTTCAGCTTTCTAGCTTGTGTGGTTCTCGAGTTGAAAGTTGCGGAGAAGCTGCGCGCACACACACAGATAACCCCGTGACAATATGCGTTTTGTACTGCTGTTATGGAAGGCTCAGTAGCCTTTTTTGACCCCAATTAATGTTTTTTATATTGATACTTTCAGACATAAAAATTAATACTAAACTTTACCGTGATTTACTGTACTTCGGCGGCATTTTTCAGTGGTCTGACTTGAAACAGCACAGTCTTCTCGTAGAATGATAAAAACACTTAAAAACAATTAAAAGTTTATCTGAAAATGAGCAAAATTAACACAGTAAATGTTGTAAATTCATGCGAATTAGCGTCTAAATCCTGTTTGAAGTGACACTACTTGGAAACAGTACAAGTGCTGCCGAGTAACAGCAACAACCACGCCCTGGCAACAGTTTCGATGGTTCCCTCTTTCAAGGAATGCTTAAAAGCAAGCTGATGGCGCGTTTGATCCCTTATTAAACTATCGTGTGTGTATGTGTGTGTGTATATGTGTGTGTATGCATATGTATGTCTGCGTGTGTGTGCATGTGTGTGTGTGTGCGGATGTGTGTATGTGTATGTGTGTGTGTGTTTGTGTGCACATGTGTGTGTATGTGCGTGTGTGTATGGGTGTGTGCTTGTGTGTGTGTGTGTGCGTCGATATGCATGCCTACATGTATATGTGGTGTATTTAGGCGTGTATGCATGCGTGTGTGCGGTGTGTACCTGCGTATGTGTGCACATTTGCCTGTGGGCATGTAGACATGTGTGTAATTGTGTGTGCGTATGTATATGTCTACAGTGCACTTGTGCGTATGTGTATGTCTGCATGCATTTTTGCGTATGTGTGTGTATGTCTGTGTGTATGTGTGTATGTCTGTCTGTCTGTGTGTGTATGTCTGTGCCTGTATGTATGTGTGCAAGTATAACGGAATTGGCGGAGGTTACTTCATCGAAAGAAAAACATAATAAATAACGCAATCGATTAGCACGGAACCCGAACATTCTGTGGACTCAGGCCCACAGGTTGACCTTTTTGACCGAGGCTTGCCGAGCTACACCAGCAAATTCAGCTGAAGCCCCCCCCCCCTCGCCT